ACGAATTAAGTTATAAAAAAATTTGCATCAGTCGTGAGTTAAAATCCTAAAATCTAAAATTCAACTAAACATTCAGATGTATGCGTGTTCGCGATTATGCGCTCATTTTATGTTCTTTTTAAAAAGCAGCCACACGAATGACGAGATAATATTATTTTCTTCTCACAGCTTGTAAATTACTAGAGCAACGCGCTCCTTCCGGAGCGCTTTATCTGGTCTGATGTTTTAGTTCTGTACGTCGCTGTTCAGAGGCCAACTGTTCTTGGTCGGTCAACTTTCTACGTCCTTCGACATTGCAGGCTTTAAGATTCCAAACTTGCAACTACTGTGCTCTAGCCAATAACATATACAACAACGCTATTGTTTTGAAATCAATAAGGCAAGGCTGCCAAGATTGAAAGTCATTAATTCCAAAAGTGTGTTTTGTCTGATGATTACAGTTGCCTCGAAAGCAGTGATATAAGTACCTCGTAAATCAGACTGGCTTATAGAGACGCGAGTGTAAATTCTCCGGCTTCCGCTCTGCGGTGTACATGGGCTCTTTGCTCTTTGGTAATGGCATTACAGTGCGGATAAACCGAAGAGATCCCTGACGTGCTGGCACGTTGTAGAGTTCAGTGGCGTGCAGTCAATTACATTCTCTGTAAGATTTCAAGTCCTCACGCCAGAGAGTATGAAGATGAATGTCTTCTCGGTTGTTGCGTCTTGTAGTCTGGCAGAAATTTACCGACGTTTCTGAGGTTCTCGCTGAATCCATCAGATCGCAGCGATGACGGAGGCAGAGATAACCTCTGAAACACTGCTAAACTTCCACTGGACTATAAGAACATAGCTATCCATAATAAAACTGCTGTTTGGTGCGTAGTTAAATTTTCCTGTGATCAGTGGTGTGCAGTCGTTTAGAAAGGCACACTGTTTTTTTTTTCCGGTGGTCTGGAGCAGCCTGGGGATTACGACCGATCCCACGTCAGGGATAATGGGATAATGCCTACCTAACCACTCCCATACAGCCAGACTGAAATTCACATTCGTCGCTTGCGCTACAAATCATCCTCCAATAAGTGAGGTAAAATTTTTAGAAAAAATCTCAGTTACATAAATAATTTGTTTAGTTACTTCCTTTCCCTTCAGAGAGGAAATTCTTTGTGAAACACGGTTTAAAATTACGAAGTAGAAGCCTGGGTTCCATTACAGAACCATTTGCTGAATGAAGTGTTGTAGTACTTAACAGTGTTACATTTTAATAGAATTCTGTGACTTGTTTACGCGAATAATACGTGTTTACTTGCACATATTTGAAGCCAATCGTTCTGAGATAAATAAAGATGGCGCTAATATTAGCCCTTAACTTCCAGCCCAAGTCGCGGTTGCGTTATAACAACACGACGCCATACCAACAGGCAAGACACAAAGGAAACCGTTAAAAGCTTTTTGAATCAGATTACAGTTTGCTGTCGTCTTGACACGTCACTTCAAATAAGACGATCATTAATACTGTTTTCTGGTTTCTGCTTTGTTTCGCCTTGTTTGGTTCCTTTGTCAGAAGCAAAGCCTCTTGAAAATCATTTTGCAGATGACTATAAGCCGTCAATTAGCGACAGCTTCAATTCCCTCGTTCACACGATCACGTTATAATGATGAAAGTCGAATCAGTAACGCGAAACGAGTTGGAATAAAACTTGTAGAAAGGAAGTTCGCCTAGAAGTAACCTGTGCGTTCAATTTTCACCAAAATGCAGGGCACATTCACAATTGCGTAAATATTGCAAGTGACTCTTTTGAAAACTTGGTAAAAACAAAATATTTGTGTATGGTAACAAGAAACAAAAATTAAGGTAGTATATTTGCGTCAGATTGTGAATTAGGTTAATATTTTAATATTTACCGTCAAAACACAATTTTAATAAGATAATAAAATATAAAATATTTAAAATATCGTTTCACGTTCCGCATCGAATGATCGATTTACAAATTGGAACGTTTCTCTTACGACATGTTTCGGTTATATTTAACCGTCCTCAGGTATAAATTAGATTGGTAAAATTTAAAACTCGAATTACAATCATTTACAATGTTATGCAGTTTATTGAAATGTTCTTATCAGATTACTCTTATATATTAGAAGGAAGGTATTGTTTTTTATATATGGCGTGGTTCATCTGATGTTCAATATTAGTCTGTAAAGCAATGATTTAAATAAATAAAACATTAATAAATATGGAGTAATATAGAAAACAAAATGATGTCGTAAGAGACGTTCCAATTTGTAAATCGATCAATCGATGCGGAACGTAAAATGATATTTTAAATATTTTATATTTTATTATCTTATTAAAATTGTGTTTTGACGGAAAATATTAAAATATTAAAATAAAAATTACATTCCCTAAGAAATTGAGAGCGCATTTTATTCGGGAGTTACTTCGTCTCCTTTAGTTTAGAATCTTCCATTTTGCCCTCCACTTCATAAAAAGTTAACGATTAACATATAAAAACTAATTTTATCTTTATTTCCGTATAAGCGTTAGACCTTGTCTCTCACATTAAGGGACTAACACAGATTTCACACACACCGTTTCCGGTCTGTTTATTTCCACAGCCTAAGTAAGATTCTTCATGGCTGATGTCCCGACAGACGAAGATCTGAAGGAAATAGACCATTCGAGAGACTTAGATATAGATGGTTGGACAAAACTGAAATGGAACTTAAGCAAACACGGTGTGCGGGTATAGAATGGATTAAGCCAGCTCAGGACAGTGTCCAGTGGCGGGGTCTTGTGAGTACAGTAAAGAACGTGTTGGAAATTTCGTATCTAAATTATAGATTTTCACTTTCTCAAGGAGTTATCTGCTTCATGAAATCACAGCTGTTAACAAAGTGTTTTTTTATGTTTAATAACACATAATTATATTACGGGTAAATATTTTGGCATCCATAGAATAATATCTAGTCTATACCTAAAACTCTAGTTAATATCTAGTCTGTTCGCAAGTCTCAGTTATAATTTCGCCATGCTTATATACTAACTAACTAACTAGATGGCTTACCGAACCCGAAGGTTCATCACCGAATTAACCAAAGCCCTCCACCGGACCCTGTCCTGGGCCAACAAAATCCAGTCTCCTTCAACTCCTATCTCCCATAGATCCCGCCTGAGATTATCTTCCCATCTACGTCTAGGTCTCCCCAGCGGTCTCTTCCCCTCAGGCTTCCCAACCAGTACCCGGTGCACACCTCTTGTCCCATCCATGCGCGCTACATGTCCCGCCCATCTCACTCTTCTCGACTTAATCACCCTCACAATACTGGGGGAGCAGTACAGATTTTTAAGCTCGTCATTGTGCAGTTTTCTCCACGCCCCATCGTCTTCCCTCTTAGGCCCAAATATCCTCCTCAACACACTACTGTCTTAATTATTTAATTTTCGTAATCAGGCGCTGACATAATTATCAAATAAACAGCTTATTCCAATTGTAGCAGCCGTCATCAAACTGCAAACTTCAAATCACGGAAATATCGTACAATACGAAATACGAGAACTGGAGCACAAGCGAGTGAAGACGGCTCTAAACTCGGAGCGTAGCAAAGCTACAAGCGCTGTAATTGTGACTTAGACGTGCGCGGTAAGGGGAGTAAAGTTCTTCTGTGGCCTTGAAGGATGAAATTTGGTGACTGCTACTTTTCTCGAACTCCTTTTAATATACCAAAAGATCTAATAGCTTTTTCGAAGATGGCAATAAGGCGTAGCGCAATGTATGTTGAAGAATAATATTCTTCTGTTGGTTAAACTTAGATTATTCTTTAGACAAAGTACACTGGAACGGGTTTCCTGTTCAGGTAACTGATGGATGTGTTTTATAAAAATAGTTTCCAAACATTTTCATTTCGCAAAGTACTTGAGCACGTCATTATCTGAACTAGGAACAACATTACTATTGGAAAATCAGACAAAGTTTATCACGATCTGCGCATATAAAAAATAAAAGTTATGATAATGTTTATTAAATGACACTTAAAGGGATAAAATATAAATAAAAATAAATAAAATAAGCCTGCTTACCAAATATAATGTGATGACCGAGTGTGATGGCCAGATAAAATATGACTGACGTGATATTTGACAATTGAATTTGTATTTCGGCTCTGATTTCCGTTTGTTACGTAATTTGTTTTGCGGAGACGTAACTGGAAATCAGGTTTCGCGCGTAGCAAAATGAGATTGCGAGAAAAATTTAAAATCGAGAAAATGCTATCAGATTTTTTTTTATTGTTTTCGGCGATCCAAAAACAAATCGCCATTAGCCGGTTTCCGTCTCTGAGCGGAACGTCACTGTCCAGTGTGCAAGACGAAAACCAGTGACCCTTTCCGTACACCAAGACCTACATAAACGACCTTAAAATTAACCCCCTTTCTCTTGTTAATATCACCGCATGTGCCATCCGGTAGACAGGCAATGGACCAGTTACATAGGCCACAGGCTCACCCCATCGTAAAAATGTCAACAGAGTTCGATATATTATTCCTAAAAAAAAAATTCCTGCCATATGTGATAGCTGAAGCGATCGATTTGGAATTATCAAATATTATAAATGATATACTACCACTGAAGTTAATAAATACAAGAATGTTTTAGCAAAATACTCCACACTCACTGAAGTAAATGAATAGAAGAATGTTTTAGCAAAATACTCCACACAGAATCGGCTAATGGTCCCAAGAGCGTTTGTGAATTATGCTCTCCGGTTCCGTTCATGTATTTTTGAGGCTCGTGGAATAAACAGTTGTCCTCCTGGGACGCATCGAGCGACGTGTGGTTCATCACCCTGTAAGAGGTCGTTCTGATACCTTTATTAATCAATTCAGATTCTCACCGTTATCCCACAATACTCGTTCGTTCCGTCAAAACCTTCTTATGACATCTTATATTTTACAGGAGGCCGAGACTGAAATTATAAATTCGGGCGTTATGGACACGAATTAGGACTCTCGTTCTACTTACCTGCCTCCAGACGGCGTCTTCGTAGTTGACATAAAGCACGCAGGCGATCTGCGCGACTGACAGAACAATGCCCGCCCCCACGGCCTCCTGGAGACGGATCGGCAACAGAGAATACGTGAGGTAGATGAAAAACATGGCGGCCCCAACTCCAGTGGACGGAGAACGGGGACGCGTGTAGGTGGCGAGGGTGACCTCCACGGCCAGGAACGTGGCTAACACCACGTAGGAGACTCCAAGTAGGTAGAGCTCGTTTAGGGCAGGCCGAGACAACACAGCCACCAGCACTGCGGGTCATTGAGAGACACAAGAGTCATACCGTGAGCCCTGAGGGGATTCCCCAGAAGGGACGCAGAAGTTCTTACAAAGTAAACACGTCTCCTAACTTAAGAACTTTAAGATAGATGAATCACTGAGGTCCCTTGAGAGCAGAAACTGGTTCTTACAGGACGCACGAAGAATCTATGAAGACGTACAAGTCAGGAAAAGAGACGATACAGATGCATTCTTAGCGAACGCACGAAGAGGGATCATTGGAACTGTGGACGATGCCTCAGGATGTTTCAGAATCTTGCGGTAAAAATATCAGGTATTAGAAGCTGGTGATTTATCCGAATCTTCCGGAAGCTTCCATAGGGCATTTCGCAACGTTTATCTAATAAGTGAAGAAAGGTACATTTGACCCACGATTATCGACGAACATGGGTTTATTTAAATGAACGTGTAAACACGAATGTTCAACCGATCGGTACTGGTCCTCGAAGGACACCAGAGATCTTCAGCGAGCGCCACTTCAACATCCAACCAGTGCAAGACGAACTTTATACATACATTTAACTCAGAAAGGTATATTAATATGATTTTGAAAAGTTCACATGCACTCATTTTATTATTTTACAGGCAGACTCAGTTCTTCTAAACGTCGGATTTTTTAATGTTCCATTCAAGAACATACGAGTTAGGTTAAGACTGGACAGGGTGGGGTGGGGGAGATTGTTTTGATTGAACAGAAGCCGACTGAACCGGCTACCGGTAAATCCTGCTGTCGTGTCATTTATGGAGTACAGGCGGCATAACAAATAGGTTACCGATTATTAACACAGAGTTACCGATTTGGGTATTGGTAATCTATGTTCAGAACGCTGGGCTTGTAATCCTGGGGTCCCGGGTTCGATTCACGGTGGTGCCCGGATTTATAACTTGTGTTGGGCAAGGCCGTGGTCTAGGCAACACGGAGTTTTCCTCCAGGGGCATCCCAACAATTACTCCATTCACACACAGAAGAAGGCAATGGCAAACCACTTCTGGATCATCTGCCAAGAACGTATATGAAGAGGTCCCAGTCCGAGAAAAGGATGGAAGGATCCTGTTCATATGGACCTGTCCTCAGACAGAACACTAAATAATAATAAGATGAGGTGGTCTAGCGGTTAGAACGCTGGCCTTGTAATCCTGGGGTCTCGGGTTCGATTCCCGGCGGTGCCCGAATTTATAACTTGTGTCGGGCAAGGCCGTGGTCTAGGCAACACGGAGGCTTCCCCGGTTTCTCCGTGGCATCCCAACAATTACTCCATGCACACACAGAAGAAGGCAATGGCAAACCACTTCTGGATAATCTGCCAAGAACGTATATGAACAGATCCCAGTCCGAGAAAAGGATGGAAGGATCATGTTCATATGGACCTGTCGTCAGACAGAACACTAAATAAAAAAATTCTCCCATCCAAGCTACATCACCAATCCATGGTAGATTCACTGATTAAACTGGCTTTACAATAATAGATGCATCAAGAATAATAGTATAGGGACATGAAAGATGCATACAAAATTTTGGTTGTGAAAGCCTGAAGGAAGATCACTCCGAAGACCTAAACGTAGATGAGATGATATTAAAATGAAGCTTTAATATGAAGACGACAGCTTTCTATGAGAATGCCCCGTGTAGTCTCGTAGTAATTGACCGACGTTTCAGAGGTGCGTACTGCCTCGATCATCAGGTGATCAGACTGTCTTAGTGGCTTTGTGCTATAGTCCAGCCTTCACCTTGATTTCCAACAGGATGCAGTGTCAATAGGTGGGGGAATACGCGGTATAATATGCAAATTGATTTCTACGTATCTATGCTCACCCGCGTACACGGCGACACAGCAGGCGAGGGTCATGCCCACGGCGATAAACCCGGGCTCACGACCCCCCCACGAGCTGGAGAAGAGGGCGGCGGCGATTTGCAGGAGGCCGAGCACGGAACACAGCGCCAGCAACAGGACCAAGAGGTGCGTCACGTTGCTCTGGTTCATGCGCAGGAAGTACCGCTGGTACAGCATCTCCACCTGCGGGTTCTTGAAGCGATGGGACCTGCACAGGCGGTGAAGCAGGCGCCGGAAATGCCACCAGGTGGCAGCAGCTCCGCCGCTGGGCCGCGAAGGCTTCAGGAGGATGGACTCGACATCCGCGTCGTCATGCAGACCACCTCCACCGACGCCTGCTTCACGAGGGTCACCGGTGGCGCCCTCCTCTTCTTCCTCCTTGATGCTGGTGCCGCGGGACACGCCCACCTGTTGACATCGCGAAACTGTATTCTCACTGCCGAGGACACTATTTTCATACGCGAGATCCATTTTAACATTACCTTCTGATGTAATTTAAATATCCCAAGCGGTGACTTCTTTCCAAATTTCTTACTAAAATCTCACGTGCATTTTTAATATATTTTATACATGTTCAGAAATTATTTTTAAGGCCATCTTCAAACATATTATCTTGTTAGTAAATATGTGATCTGTACTTAGAGGTAGATAATTTATTTAAACTATAAAACAATATTAGATGCATTCGATTTTCAGTTATAAAACTGGCTTAAAGACAAAAGTAATGTCACTACGTAACCTGAAAATTATATGTATATTCAAAGCCATTTACGTAATTAATCGCAAATACGTCAATTAGGCAAGCTAAGTTCCATTTCTTACAAATATAAAGGCCTCGGATCCTATTGGTGGATTGATTTGCTTGTAAGGTTCTGATTATGTGCCTCGTACCCAAACACGACTAACAGACCATTCAAAGCTCTGCTTGGGTTCAGTGCTCGACGAATCCAGCCCAAAGGGCTAACAATTGCTCTGGATGATACCGAGCCGCTGACGACTTCCAAGACGAAGGACGATTACGTGGTATACACAAGGTCAACGTCAGAGGTCGGCAAACTTTTAATCTCCGCGTGTCGCAATGGCTGTTAAGAGATCTGTATTTCTATTGCTCGCTCGGAAACAGGCAATGAAAGTATTTCACCTTACAAATAACCTATAATGATCTCTCAATAAGCTTCTAAAGTATTAATTTTCAGGAAAGAAAATTACATACTTAACTTCATGGGAAAAAATTAAAAATATAATGTAAGAAGTATTTGAAGAAATACAATTTGCTTGCAAATACTTTATTTTATTGTTCTTTAAAAATTAAATCGCATTATTAGTGTTTTAAAAAATACATAACTCAAAATAAAAAAATATACTGTTCTGTAAAAAATTCTAATATCATTAAATTGTATTAAATGTGAAATCGTACAAAAGTTTAGGCATTTATTATTCCACCATATCTTCACAAAAGTCATTTCAAACAGAGCGTAGTTTCCAACATGTAAATGTACGTCTTCCAAAATTGAGGAGTAGAGCTTTAATGTGATTTTTGCTAAATAATACCTTGTAGTTGTTTGATTTATTTAGTTTTAAGTTCGTTGTGGTAATTCATTGCTAGAATAAAACTTGTTGTTCCTAAAACCAGAAAAAAACATAAGAAGAGACAGCGACTTCATTAAGTGTCTATATAAAACTGTCTCAGGTCTAATGGTTCAAAGGCATTATTCATTAAATCATTAAACTGTAGTTCAATTATTTCCATATGAAGCTCATTAATGTCTATTTTTAAAAGGTTTTAAAATTAATAAACACTGAAACACATTTAATCTCGACGAAAATTCATTTTAAACAATTTCTTAATACTTTTCCTTTGACCGCGTAAACATTATTTGCTCCAGATGTTTTAGAAAAGCTTTCACAGGAAGGTAAAAGTGCCAAATTTCGCTCTCATACAGGATTGTTAATTAATTTTAAATTCTTTCCGTGAGTTCCGATAACACAAAAACACAAGAAATTTTCTCTCACTTAAAAGTTCCTCGTTAAATTATTTTGAACTTACGCCATGTCTACCAACAACACCAGATACAGAATCCATCCCACTTCAGACATTACGACTAATGATTTTCTCTTTTCATTAACGAATATCTCAATTTATGGTCTAAAATTAATTAATCTTCTTAGAATATTAGTTCTGCTAAGCCGTCTTATTTTATTCTATTTACGTGACCGAATTCTGATCTGAATACCACCTCAGAACTTTACCTCAGAAGACCTGCTAATTAATGATACAATAAAACGTCATAGGGAGATACAGGGTGTTCTTACATTACTTCACTGATAGCAGCAACAGTTCAATTACCATAATACTCTTATTCTTAGCATCGTCCGTTGTTACATTGTAATATACTTTGTTTTGGTCTTAATAAATTGAGTGTATTTTTTTTAAACTTTCATTTGCAGCTGAGAGAAAAATTTGAAAAGGTTCAGAATTCTTCATAGAGAGAAAAATCTTAGTTTGTGCTACGATCGAATGCCGTGAGCTGAGTAGCGTCTGAAATATCATCACATTCATTCGAAGCTTCGGAACAGTGAAGAAATTACTTTGCTTGTTTCATTCTAACTGTTCACGTAAACTGGACCGTACATTTTATATTCGGAGTGTCTCTGTTCGTGCTGAAAGACCATTGTCTTAAAACAGCTTAATTTTCTCAGGACACTGTGCTTTAAAAGTTGCTAAGATCTTGGCATCTTTAAAATATCTTCCTATCTTACCTACAACTTTGGTTTCATCGCAATTTCTCTTAACTATATTTCTTGCTGGCACAAAGAGGATTTTAGTGAGTTTACGTAACAATTTTTTTAACTGACCAGTAAAACTCCTTTGTGTTTTGTTTCGTAAGAACGTTTCTAACTGCAATTTTTGAGAACTGACAAAATTTCTTTAAAAAAAACACACACGGACTTACCAATGTAACAGATGAATTAAGTATTACCTTTTCCATTATTATTTAAATATTTACCTTTCGTCCGTAACTATTCTCCTTTCTGCAGTAACCATTTCTGTCAAGGAATAAACGATTCAACAATTTTATTGCATTTAAAACAGCAAGAAACCACGATAAATGGCAAAAACCAGGGAAATGAAAGACTTTGTGTGCTTTCAAATATTATTTCAGGAACAGTTTAATAACGAGTGTAGCCGAGTCGTAATTAACAACGATTCCGTCCTATAAAGCAGAAAATAAATTCATGAAATAAGATAAAAAGATTATCAGCAACAAATTAAAACACTAAAATGGAGATTTTTAGAAGTTTATTGTAAAGGCACTGCTCGTTAGCTTTCTAAATAAAATGTAGTATGGTCGATGTTAACCGACGTTAGAGGTCATACTGCCTCCGTCATCAGGGCTACAACAAAACGGCAAATTTCATCATGGGCTGCTGCTTTGTTATTATTATTATTAGTGTTCTGTCTGAGGACAGGTCCATATGAACAGGATCCTTCCATCCTTTTCTCGGACTGGGACCTGTTCATATACGTTCTTGGCGGATGATCCAGAAGTGGTTTGCCATTGCCTTCTTCTGTGTGTGAATGGAGTAATTGTTGGGATGCCACGGAGGAAAACTCCGTGTTGCCTAGACCACGGCCTTGCCCAACACAAGTTATAAATTCGGGCGCCGCCGGGAATCGAACCCGAGACCCCAGGTTTACAAGGCCAGCGTTCTAACCGCTAGACCACCGTGGTTAAGACAGTAAGACTATGAAAATTTATTTCGAGAGAGGCGTTTGTAGAATCCTCCTGATCTACACCGACGACGATGACAATTACAAGGGAACAGATGCACCAACGGTTCTCCTAACATCTGTGATGATTTATTCGCAATTTTAATACATCACAATGAAAATCTGTTTGAAACTTGATGTAACACAAATACGAGTAGAAACAAGACATTTTACCTTCTGAATATTCTTAAGCTCTGCGTTATTGTTAACACGAAAATAACTACTAATTTATCATTCTTTATCTACAAGTTAACGAAAATAATAAGTTATTTTAGTGTTTTTATAGTCCGAGAAAAGCAGTCTCGCGTAATATACCTATAATTCTAAGCAACGCAATGCAGAAACTCAGAAAAACAGAAGAAAAAACTCCGTTACCAATTTTTCATACGGAAAAACTCGGTCGGGATAATCAACTTTCGGGTACAGGTTCGAACCAAGGAGTTGTATAAATACAGACACTACAGGATGAAGCCCGGATAAACACTGATATTTACAATTTATCTGCGATCCAATAACACTGTGATATTTACAATTTATCTGCGATCCAAACCTTCGAGATACGTTTACATTGCCCGGGCATAATAATCCCCCTGCCCACCCACTTGATTGAAACAGATGAAGCGTTAACAGCGAATCGATTGCAGATAATAGGTCTTCATGACTTCGCTCATAAAGGAAATCCAACCAAAACACTTATCCTCTACCTAGCGCTATCCTGCTCATAAAACAACACAGAAGGTACACTAAATACAATGCACTGAAGGAAACTGAGTTAACTGTCGAATACTGTCTTGTATGATTAGTATACTGGGATCGTGGAATCGAACCCATGGACTTTTAATGTTTCTCCGTGGTGGTAGGTCTTGGAATTGATTAATTATCCAACCAAAAAATACTGATACTTGACTGAATCATAAGTACTAGTTTAGAATCACTGGTCCTTCAAGAATTAATTTATTTGGTGTTTGATAAAATCAGTGAAAAATCCCCTACGTACATTTCAAAAGCAGAAGTTTATTATCCTAAGCGTTTCAATAATAGAATGTAAAAGCATGGATAAAATCTGCCAGAGAAAGCCCATTTGTGGCAGAAATATTAAACAAAACGTTTTTCTTAATATTCACTACCGTTTATGATTTACGACGTTCTTACGCTGATGTCACTTTTATTACTGTGAATACTGGTTTTTATTGAATGGAGACAATTAGTATTAACAGAGTGTCAATTAATATTCTTTATTTATTTTATTTAGTGTTCTGTCTGACGACAGGTCCATATGAACAGGATCCTTCCATCCTTTTCTCGGACTGGGACCTGTTCATATACGTTCTTGGCAGATGATCCAGAAGTGGTTTGCCATTGCCTTCTTCTGTGTGTGAATGGAGTAATTGTTGGGATGCCACGGAGGAAAACTCCGTGTTGCCTAGACCACGGCCTTGCCCAACACAAGTTATAAATTCGGGCACCGCCGGGAATCGAACCCGAGACCCCCAGGATTACAAGGCCAGCGTTCTAACCGCTAGACCACCGTTTCAATAACCACTTCAGACTACCTTTTTTTTTTTTTTAGTTATTTTCTGTTCGTGTCGTCAGCGTGATGAACTGACTGTACATAATCACAAAGACATTAGTCACCTCACAGCGCCGTCGAACTCAACCCCTGACGCCACCTCAATGCGATTTATTAGACCATCGTGCCTAATCCATCTGCCCGTAACGTTTCTACCCACTCGACGTCGTGTTAAAACCACACGCACATGGAGAGGCACAACCTCCAATAAAAGTAAAGGCTTCTTTTTTAAAATAACATCTGCCGAGATGATCCTGAATTACACACGATCCGATTACGTCGCCTTCTACAATTCTAGACCAATCACTGATATTAAGTCTGAGGTGGAATGAGTAGCGTGAGGATTGTCCTTTGTCCGTACACGCAAGCTTTGTGGATGGTGGACACCATCTCTGTCTTGTCAGTCCACAGCACATGGCATAGAAACTGATGGGTGTCCAAAATGTACATCAGCCATCAAGAGAACCTTGCACTGGTTGTAAAATAGATCCCCACTCAGAGTTAAGACGTACTTCATTATGAGAAAATCTTCCAGTGCTGGTTAAAGGGTTATCGTGTACCAAATTCAACAAATTCTCCTCATACCGCACATCGTGACTTCCTAGGCCAACAAATGCATTCGGTATGAAAATGCCTGTTTCTCACAGGTTAACGATGAGGACTGTCAAATATACGTCGTCTGTGATACGGTTATCAAAGCTGATATTCCCTCAGTGCAGCGGGAAATTTCCCATCTCAAAAAAAAAAAAAAAAGTCAGTGCGAAGCCTTCGTCATACGACCACCACGACGTACAGAGATACCAACTTAAACGCGTCGCCACTTCGACATTAGAACGCATAAAAAAGGCCTTTTAACAACCTCAGCCGAAGCGGTTAATGTACGATTACCATTGCGTAGAACTGGGTTCGGTTTCAGGGTAGTCCATTGTGGATTTGTGATGTACAAAATGACGCTAAGATAGATTTCGCTGACAGTCATTCGGATTTCCGGTCTCAGTGTCATTCTTCAGCTGTTCAATTTTCCCTCGTGTATTATCTGGCGGTAGCAGATGTAGCCCGAATTTATAGCTTGTGTTGGGCAAGGCCGTGGTCTAGGCAACACGGAGTTTTCCTCCGTGGCATCCCAACAATTACTCCATTCACACACAGACGAAGGCAATGGCAAACCACTTCTGGATCATCTGCCAAGAACGTATATGAACAGGTCCCAGTCCGAGAAAAGGATGGAAGGATCCTGTTCATATGGACCTGTCGTCACACAGAACACTAAATAAATAAATAAAAATATAAGTCCATGTGTTCCTTTTTACACAGTAAGTTACAGAATCTGTTGTTGTGAGCGGTTGCAGTATTTGAATAATTTCGTAAAAAACAAATTTCGAAGTAAAGGATCGGCAGCCGAGAAACAGGTGCTCTAGAGGCCGGAGTAGAAAGGCCCCGCAGCGGAACTTCGGTTTCCGTTTAATTTCCTACAAACACAGCGACTAGAATTCTGGTTTCGCATTTCCTAACAAAACTCGATATACGATAATATAATAACCGTGCGTTCCTTTCATAACATGTAGGCTTAAGGAGCGTGGGCGGAAAACAGAGAAACAGCTTTAATGAACGCAAATGATGATCATGTTTCTGGGTGCTTGCACCTCACGGATGTGGGCTGTGTTTCCGCCGACGATTTGCAGGAACATGCTTTCAGAACGTTGATTAGACAGCCCACATTCACACAGTTCCTACGCCAAAAAAACAGAATCATTTGCAATGAATCATCTTGAAAAATAAAATCTGTTTTAATTAAATATTATAAGTCTATACGCAGAAACGTGCATTTGAAAATACGCATTGAAACATTAAAAATCTTTTGTCTGAACATGACATTAAATTGGTTCTTAATGAGCCATGACATGAATAATACAAGTCGGAGATCATGTTTTTTTCCCACGGCTGTGTTTGGTTTTGGGGTTTTATACATCTCTGGAATATGAAATATCGATAAGTCGCTTTATTGTTTAATAATTAAGCGATTTCAAACGTTAAAGTCGAGATACACTGAAAACTAAACTAGAGAACCGACGCAGAGCGTTGGGACGATTTTCGTCGTGACGCCACACTTGGTGCAACATTTTTCACGAGGCTTCATAAGAGACGCCAAGCGTAGCGACGCTGTCGGAAAAAGAAATTTTAACGAAGAGCGCCACAAACTATCCCAATATCCTAACCTAACCCAACACAACCTAACCTAACCTATCCCAACCTAACACAACTTAACATAACCCAACCTTACCTAACCTAACCTAAACTAACCTACGACGCCTATCATCGCGAAGCCTTCGTAAGACCCCGTGAAATGAACGCAAACTTTCGGATTACATTTCAGGTGACTTAAAAATCGACGCCATGCGTCGCGACGCCCTCAGTTGACGCCAAATTTATGGAAGATTAAGCGTTTACTACAATATGAAAATCGAGTCTTATATTAGCCATGAGGTAAATTAAGATTAATCAGCAAGTCCTAAATCACTAACTTGGCTTTTGGAACCGTAAGGTTCATCACCGAATTAACCAAAGCCCTCCACCGGACCCTGCAATCAGCAAGTCCAAATATTACATTTTAGCAACCCGTTACAATAATTCCATGTCGTTCTCGTAAGACACAGAAGATAAAAAGGACTATTTCCTCTTTGTCTTCTCTACTGAAAACCTTCCAGTTATCAGAGGAATATGATGGTACAAGGATTTAAGATCCTGTTCCCTTGGTCTCTCATTGGAACGACGCGTGGCGTCTCCTTATTGCTCAGGTAATTTCTTCTCAAATGTCCTTAGTGTACGACGTACATATTCATAATTCAAAGGTATGTCCACTCGAACTCGCGGTTTTGATATCTACCAATAAACACATGTTTCATTATCACGTGATATCATCTTCCCGTGGAAAACTGTTTCACTGAAAGGAAAACAACAATCCGACATTGCTACATGTTCCATACTATCATTGTCAACTCATCGCCCTGATGACGGAGGCAGTATGATCTCCGAAACGTTGATAAATAGATCACATGTGCAATCAAAGATCAATTCTTATTTTTTCCAGATCAATTATCCGATGTTGTAAAATACCTTTTCTTCAGAGAACTTCGAATAAAGTGTCCTGAGTTCGTTTCCTGTCCAGGACAGGTCCTGTATCTCGGAAACTATGCAAGTTTAGAGAACGCTGCCAAGTTCAAAATTCCTTTGCCATGAATAACTTTATATGTACCTTCCCATTTATGATTAATCCTGTCTTGTAGAGCCATAGACACAGCTGTGTAGTAACAAATTACAGCTTTAAATTTTTTTATAGCATCATAAACTACTTAGAAGAATGGATAATAAACTTTAAACACGTCTGCACTTTCGTATAAAAGTGGCTGTTGATAAACAAAATACAGATTACTATTTATAATTCTGCCGACAAATGGAATCCAATCTCAAGCTTATGCAACCATCTAAATTACGAAAAATTTAGGGACAACAGCCTGAACGCACGACGGATATTACGAGCGTGTTGCTAGTCTTGACAAAATTACTCTGTTCAACATCACAGAGAGTCGTTACATCGACATGCTAATTCATAGTCTGGTTGCGATGATATAAAAAAAATTGTACTCCGAAATCTTCTATGGACTTCGTAAATAAAAAATTCATACATCACAAATTAGAACTGTATATAAAAAATACTAAGATCTACTTTAATATTATCCTACATATCTATCTTACAAATAGTTTCTTTCCGATAGTTCTCCACAACAAAATTCTATATTTGATTCTTGCTACACCAAAACTACTGTCCGGTCCCCATAGTTTTATTAAAGTACCAAGGTAAATGCAATAAATTCAAAGCTCAAAGTTGAACTCCTTTCTAACATTAAAAGATTGGTTTAATCTGGTGGCGGAATGAGGAACTCACCGCAATGAGGTTGGCCGATTGCGCTGGCTTTGAGCCGCGGGTCAGCGAGCCTGACGACGATGAGAAATGCTCGATAACCTCCCAGTTGGACTTCCGGGGAATTGCCGGGGCCATCGGCGGCGGTGTGTGCTGCTCTGGAAGCAGCGCTGACCGCGCAGGGGACGGCGACAACTCTAGGCTCGCCTGCCTACTCCTGATGGCGCCCACGAAACCGGCTCGGCCATGTTGCCGTAGGCTCAGACTGCGACGAGTGAACCGGGGCTTTCCCGTCACGGAAGCCAGATCCTGCAAAACGAGGGCACCCAGATAAGGTACGACCTGTGGGCAGCGGTCGCACGAGACGAAATATTCCTCTCGTCCGACAGCTCCGCTAGCTTCTCCGCCGGCCTAAAACCACTGCGCCGACTATACTGCGCAAGTAGACAGGTTATGTTAGTTGATAATCAGGCAGAAAATGTTACGGAGTTCTGCATGAAGAAACAATGGTGTAGATGGATAAAAATAAAGACAGAAAAATATTGGTTCTGCTTGTGATATTAATCATTCTGTTCCGTAAATTAATAGATAAAGAAAGAGACGGAAATACGTCGAAACCAGGGACATTCCCGATGATGAGCATTCTTGTACACCAGAGTGGGTGGCTGCTGAGAGAGATGGAGTCATCCGACGCAGGCCGATATAAACACGTATCAACTACTGACGTTACTTTGTGTTTAGTTCAAAAACGAAGCCGCTACCTCAGACAACGTGTTCGAAAAATTTGTATCGACAGGATTGCCACCGTGCGAATAAAATATCGACAATTAAAGAGAGAAATTTGAACAAAAGCTGTTACCAACAGCTTGTAGTGACTGCAATCGCCCCTTTCTACATTTCCAGATGAATACAAAACAAAGAGAAATTCGTAATTTGCGTTTCTCCTGCAAAAATTATTGATAAAATTGTCGATTATACCACAAAAGTTTGCGTGTGCCCTATAATAATAATATATTAAAAAATAAAAACTTCATAGACAAGTTATTTACATATTTATTATTGAATAACAAATGAGATTTGGAAAATGCATATATAAATACAACTACACTAAAAAATATTATTATTACTAAATAACACCAATGTATAAAAACACAACGTTAGATAATTTATATGTGCACCTGTAAAAATTTAGGTACATTTACGAATATATAAACCTTTAACTTATACAATTAAACATATAAGTTTGTACAAACACAGAAATGTCTTACAGATTTGCATATTTACAGCCAGCTAATAATTTGTTTGTGATATAAATTCCTCTGTAGAGAATGTGATATACGTTAAAACAACTGTATCATTGTCATTTCAAACTGCTGCCAACAGGCAAACATTTAATTCTGAAGGAGAGGAGGTTTGATATATGGTTTTATTCCAGCAGATTATACTCCTTTTAGGTTAGCAATTGGCGTGTAAATATAATGTTGGTGTCAGGTGTTAACTGCATGAGATTTTTCGATAAAGAAAATAATAATTCTGATCAGGACCTTTCAGTTTTGTCTGGTGGTACCGCGTTAACTTTGTGCAACTGCTGTGGGCGACGTACTTTAGCAACTCACCTGTTCTATGACGGAGCGTCTCGGACACCGCAACGAAAGTCTCTGCTTCCAATCCCGGGGAGGGTTATCGCTGGTATGCATCGAGCCGGCCATCACATGCCGCCACTACCTGAAACAAATCCGAAGAATCGGTCATTGAGAAGTCGAATCAACTTCATTCTCTGAAGACAGTGACGGCGACGGTCCCCAAAGCCTTGGACTTTGCTCTGACCAAAGGCCGATCGCCAGAGAGTCTTATGGCGTTACGTACTCGAGATTTTTCAGAGAAGCAATTTTAATATTTTATCCACACCATTTATTACTTACGTCTGAAATGTTACTAATCTTATAAAAACTTCTAACTGTAATATATAATACAATAAATTATATAAATACATATCACGAAGATGTATAAATAATATTGTGAACATACTTTAAACTTCTTCCTTGGCTCTACAACTCAATTTTGGTCTCCGTCTCCTCCTTTAGGAGGTGTCTTGGTTTTCGAAGTGCGTATTTGAGTAGCGAGTGAACAGCCCACTGACTCTACTCAATTTCTACTCAATCCTGATTTGACTGCCAGAGTCATCTAGCAGTGAATCAGGAGAGACTTGGGTGAGAAATGGCCGCTGAATTTTTCTCACAGAACATCTCGTTCATGCTCGTAAGGTTCTTTTACACGTAATAAATCTATGACAAGGGATCGCCAGCTTTACTTCTCCTCCAAAGGAAGTTTCGCTATAGATTTTTATCACCCTTAAAAATCCATCGACCTCTGCCGGGTTTAAACCCGCGAACCTTGGGTCCAGTGGCGAGAACGCTAACCACTAGTCCACCACATTACAGTTATTTACTTATAAATATATACTTTATATATATACTTTGTACACCAAACTATTGTGATAATACGAACTGCTGTGCCGAGAGATGCTGAATTTAATTATGGTGTCCCGCGGTACGTTTTACCAACTCAATTCCTGAAAACGAATTGCCTTTCCTTCTGTTATAGAGCAAGAGTTTTGTTCCCACGGTGGAGTTAGAGGTAATTCCGAGCTTTTTGAACTTAAATAGCTTTTCAGATGAAGTTAAAACCACAACTTACTTCACCACACAAACCGCTTTTTGAAACCGGTTCGACCACAAGTACCAGGATCAGCGAATATAAACATTGTTTATAATTCCGGTAAAAAAAACAGAAAATCATCCGTGGAAAAAAAAAATAGACGTTAATGTTCACAGCATCTACACGGTTTATAATCGGAAATAAATTACCATTTCAATTGTACTTCAAAGGATTTTACAATTCCAACTGGACTCTTCAAAGGACGCCACCAGTCACTGTCATTGTCATTAAACAGAACACATGTACCATCCGGAGATAAAAGGTAACACAGATGCGCACTGTGTCTTTTGGACGAACGTATAACTCGAGAAAAAAGAGACATTCTATCGGGCTTTCAGTTGTAAGTTCTCGGGTTCAGGAGGCCTTGCTCACAAAGTTGCTGTCAGATGCAGAATCAATTATTTAAGCTCCTCGATTTAACAAGTTGATACGAGTGACGTCACTTCCTGCTGTTATATTGCTTTCATATGGCTTCTTATACAGACGAAATCCGATATTCGACAGAGTAATTAGCTGAATCAAATAAGCGGTAGAAATGACAATACAAAGGGCTGTGAAGTTAAGGGATGTTCCGCCAGGCACAGAAATCTACGCAAACTGCAGCCTTTCATAATCAGACGGCTTTGTCCCAGCTGCAAATGTCTCTCTATAACAGAACTTCAATTCTGTAGAAGCAGATATAAACCATCATAGTCATTTTCTCCCACATATGGACATATCTTTACAGAAACAAATATTTCGGCAAAACTACATCGCGTTTGGTACATAACTGATTTAAATCTCTTCCTCAGTAACGTTAAATGCGTCATAAATTTCGGCTGTGAACTGTTTTAAACAGCTAGCTCTCTAGCAAAAATCAATTCAAACACTTCAGGCTACTTTAATATAGCCTGAAAGATGCACGGTCATATTTCAATGGAGTCCCGAGGTCATACGACCTCTGAAATAAGATAAGATTTCTAAATAACCGAACACTCGCGAAATAAATTATATTTGTAAATGAGCGTAACAGTTTTTTTTTGGCGTGAATGCAGGACTCTGTAATGCCAGGCGCACGGTTCACACAGGTAATTAGTGGCGAGTGGCGGATACGGCACAATGGAGCGGGTCACTAATTGGTGCCAAGGGGGCTCATATGATCGAATTAATTGGATTCACATTACAGCGCCACTTTGTCACATAATTAGTGACATATTCGAGGCTAATTAAAGTTTGAGGCCCAGTTCACACCAAAGCAAGTGCGTATTATACGTGTTGGGCTCTTAGTGACTTAATAACGTGTTGGACATCGCCAAAAATTGAGACAAAACCAGACTCTGTCTCCATTTTGAGGCCCAATAACTATGATAAATTTATTATCTGAATAACCCTGCCCGCCTTCGACAAACCATTTCTCAAAAGCGATTGGTTTCATCCAAGAACATAACAGTATAAATAAATTTGCTGTTAAATGAATAAAGTTTGTCCAATGCTTTGATTTGGTGAATTAGAAAAGAATATTACAGTATTTTTTTTTTATTTAGTGTTCTGTCTGACGACAGGTCCATATGAACAGGATCCTTCCATCCTTTTCTCGGACTGGGACCTGTTCATATACGTTCTTGGCAGATGATCCAGAAGCGGTTTGCCATTGCCTTCTTCTGTGCGTGAATGGAGTAATTGTTGGGATGCCAATGAGGAAAACTCCGTGTTGCCTAGGCCACGGCCTTGCCCAACACAAGTTATAAATTCGGGCACCACCGGGAATCGAACCCGAGACCCCAGGATTACAAGGCCAGCGTTCTAACCGCTAGACCACCGTGGCAATTTCGCCACAGTACATGATTTATAATCATTTTCGTCATTTGAAAATATATAATCTACGTAATACATACAGTGTCGTTAAATGAACAAAGATATACAGACGGCCTTGGAGTGACTGAATTTAGATGCAGGACTTAAAAACGCTCTTATAACCAGCCATCGGTCTGCTGTTCTATCCCCGGGCTGAGATTTTAACATCTCCCTTCATCCATTACCAATGCAAGTGAAGAATCTAAGACTTTAATTTCTTTCGTCTGAAAATTTTAAATCACATACAAGAATAATTGTGCATAATTTGAGATTCTCACGGCAGTGAAGATTACAATGTTCTTATGGGTTATGCTCGTATGTAGATACTAACGTTACAGAGATACATAATGTGTCCATCACCGTAAAGTCAATAAATTTCCGTTTCCATTCGCAAAGGTTCCATCTCTGGAGTGTTCGTTCTTTTCTTCAGAACTGGATCTGAGGATGTCAGAGCCACCAATAAAGTTAATACTGTGTACCCTACCCCGTCGGGTAAAGCGGTCGTAGATCGAAACTGACTACGAACATAAAACTCCCTACAGCGTTGAGATTACGAATTCTTCAAAGTTTTCTTCCATAGTCTCTATATGCCACCATATTTTGGGTTAGGCACGGGGTTATATTCCACCCCATCTGACACAGACAATTCCCAGCAGTTTCTGGGAAATGTTATGACGGAATGTTCAAGCTATAAGACCTCATTCAAAGTAACTCTAAAACTTAAGGCCTTAAGGCCTCATGTGGCCTTCTAGGTCCTTAAGTGAGGCCTTTTGACTGAATCCAAATTTTACAGAACAAATCCTAGGATCAACTGAAACTGTGGACCTCCATGCTGCAACCAAATATTCAGATGCTTTCCAAAAAAGTCATTAAAAGATTAGTTAATTTTAAAATTAACAAATAGTTTTCATTTTTTTGAAATTATTAAGTACATATTAGTTAGATTTTTTACAAAATAATGTATATTTTTAAGTATATCTAATTTAA